AACAGAAAGAAAAACAATGATTGGAGATGAGGGTGACATGGTGTAAAAGGAACTAGAAGTGCTGGTCTCCAACCCTAGCCTTAGCACATGCAGCCACATGACTCTGGGCAAGCCAGTGGTCCACTCGCAGTTTGTGGCAATTTTCCTACCTGCAAAGAGGAGATCATCTGTGTTCCAAGGCTGTTGTGGAGGGCAGATGAAATGATAGAGATGAGGGAAAAAAATGCTGAACAGTGTATAACCTACACCTATAAATTCCTCTGTGTATACAAGGCAATGAGCACGCCTTTTTAAAGGGACACTCAAAACAAAACTAATCACAAATTTGTAATATGAACCTTGAAAGTGATTTGTATTTGTCGCATTACTTCATTGGCATACATATGAGATGAGCCCTTTTTCATTGAAAGGTCAAGTTATTGCCCATAATAGAAAAGCAACCAAAATATCAGGCATGGAACTGTTATGCAAAGGATGGGTAAGCCATATAGAAGACTACTAATGTAGCCGTAAAAACTATTTATAATGAGTTCTAGTTACATGGAAAATGTTTTATGCTGTAAAGTTAAATAAAAAGTCAGGACACAAAACTTATATGTCACCTAATCTCAGCTGGAGGGATAATGGAGTCCAAGGATGCAGAGTCTATGCAAGTCCTACCTTGGAGCAAGTTATTCAAACTCTTAAAGTCTCAGTTATGTCATCTGTCAAAGGGGATGATAATAGGACCAAGCTCATAGGGTACTTATGAGGATTCAATGACATAATCTGGATCAAGTATGTGGCACAGTGTCTTGCCTGGTAAGCACGTAAGACGTGGTAGCACTGCTGTAGAATTACCAACTGCACATAATTGCATGCAAACGACATGCTGAGATAGGGGTTGTTTCAGAGCTAAGGGTCTGTAAGTTTTTTTTGCCTCTTTACACTTATCTGTACTTTCCAATTTTTCTGTGATGATCCCATATTACTTTCCTAGTCAGGAAAAAAAAATAGGATAATTATTGACTTATGAATATAGTTTCCCAAAATTTGCATAATTGCACTTCTTAGTTAATCCTATTAGCTAACTCTAATTAGATTACATTAAGGTCTTGTTTAACATTTCCCTTGGTGATATCTGTAGATCTTTGGGAATCTAAAGTAGCTTGTGGATTAGAAATATGACAGAGGGAAAGAAACCTCAAGTTTACTAAATGTGAGGAATTTGGTAGGTGTTCTACACCCTTCATTCTTAACGCTATCACATTCTACTTTGTAAGTTGTGATAAAGCATTTCTACCACACTTTATGCATCTCTACCCCACCACACAACCAAAAAATAATAGTAAAGAAATACATCCATACATAAACAGAACTGCTTCCATGTTTCCTCCACCACTGTCTTAAAATCACAGTAGCATGGTCGTGCCCCGAGGCAGTCTCTCAGCTGAGATCCAAGGACATGAGGGATGCAAGTCTGTAGACGTATTAGAAGGCAGTCCATGATTTCCCCAGGAAAATTCTAAAATTTGCATTTTCATTCCAAAGTTCATCTAAAAACTTAATATAAGCATATTCAGGATCTGGTTGAAAACTGCAATAAGAAAATATTGCCCCAGGATGTCAGTGGCTGTGACTGTGTCTCATTGCTTATGTCTTTGTACTTGGAGCAAGTGATCACCCTCTGAGAAGACAGTATTTGTGTTGGTTGCTGAGCAGCTGCAAGCCCACCTTTCTGGACTCTGATTCCTGGGGCTAAGATAGGGACTCTGCAAACCACTGCTCCCCAGTGGTGACAGCAGCAGGAGGCTGGAGTGCTGGAGGAGTGGAATCATACAATATTTCTTCTTTTGTGTCTGATTTATTTCACTTGGAATAATGTTTTCAAAGTAGTATGTGTCAAAATTTCATTCCTTTTTAAGGTTGAATACTATTCCATTGTATATATGCACCATGTTTTATTTATCCATTTATCTGTTGACATTTGGGTTGTTTGGGCTATTGTGCATACAACTGCTACAAACACTAGTGTACAAATGTCTGAATCCCACCTTTCAAGTCTTTTTGGTTTAGACCCAATAATGAAATTGTTAGGTCATATGATAATTTTATGCTTAATATTTTGAAGAACCTCCATACTATTTTCCACAGTGCTGTAACTTTTCACATTCCCACCACGACTGCACAAATGACAATTTCTCCACGTCCTCACCAACACTTGCTATTTCCCCTTCTCTTATAATAGCCATCCTGATGGTGTGAAGTGGTGCCTTACTGTGGTTTTCATTTTTATTTCCCAAATGAGTAATGACATTGACTATCTTTTCATCTGTCCAGTGTATTAACTTTTAGTATAGTGTTTCTAAAACTCAAAATCCTTGTGTCCTTCTACTGAGAAATGCTACATTAGGGAATAAATTTAAGTATAACTAGTGGTGCCTAAAAGAATTTTAACAATCTTAAAATTCAAGATCCATGAAACGTACATGCTCTCTCTCTCAGAATGATTTCTTTTTCTTTTAAATTTTAAGTCCTCAAAAAAAAAAAATCACTGACAGTTCAGTGGTAGTGCTAAAGAATGAACTTCTAAATTACTTGACAGTGAGCATTTTATTAATTGAGGCTACTGAGCATATGTTAAAGTTGACTCTTAAGCTTTGTTTCCTAAAACAAAAATACTACACACATTCAATTCCCATGAATTTTTTTTTTTTTCCTTTTTGTCTTTTTTCGTGACCGGAAACGGATCACAACCCTCAGTGTCGCGCCCATACCGGACCGGGACCGGCAACGGGATCGCAACCCTCGGTGTTGCGCCCGCACCTCGCTCAGCCAGTGAGCGGGAAGCGGTCTATATGTGGGATCTGAACCCTTGGCGGGAGCGCCCCCACACTCCCAAGCAGCGCACTGGAGCAGTGCGCCACCGGGCCGGCCCTCCCATGAATTTTTTAAAAGTGAGATATTGCTAAACATGTAACAGCGTAGCCTCTAAAATACATGAATCAATTAAAGAAATGCATAGCAAGCATTATTTTAAAGAAGTAAAGAAATGAATCTAATTATTCCTCTCATAAGATGTGCCCATGCTTGTTCCTGAAATATGCCTTAAATATGTCATAAACATGAAATGTATGAGTTCTAACATAAGAGAAATTGGATGGAAATAAATAAGAATGTCATGAAATAGCTTTTCTAGAGAATTCCAATCAGAAATCGTGACAACAGCTCTAAAATTCCTACCATCTCTCTTTCATCCCTCCCACTCAGACTCCTTGCCCATTCCTTTCCTTTCCCAGAAATATGAGGCAACCCGGTCCCATATCATACTTGTCTCCATTCTCCCATGTGGCCTTGAAGCAAGGTAAGAGGACGCACATGTGGCAGGAGCCAACTGTACCTTGCCTGTCTCAACTCACGCTGAAGGCTCTGCTCCCATTAGTACTAGGGAACTGCAGCTGACACATGGCCCTGACACAGCATCTGGAACAGGTGAGACAGAGGTTGAAGAGGTTTAACGCCATCTCCTTTTGGTTCCTAGCCTTATACAGCCTTTACGCAGTAGCTCTGCACAATGATAGTAGCCAGACAGTGAGCCTGAGAGGCAGGGGCTGCCCACATGCTCCCCTCCCCACCCTTCCCAGTGCACCTACAGGCACCACACGTGGCCTGACATAGCCTCCCAAGCAGAGGAGTGTGTCCTGCTGACACAGCCTCAAAGAACACCAACCACATGGAAACAACTTCGCTCATCGCTTCACAGACACCTGAGAAGGATAAATGTGACAAGAAATGGTACCATGGACTACTTCTGTATGTCACTTGACTTCCCCTGGTGGAAAACAGTGCAGCCAGAATGTAAGCATGTCCGGAAACAAACCAGACTTTCCCAGAAGTCATCAGAAGACCAGTCAGCAATGGCTGTGGCCTTGCTTACCTGTCTTAAGTCCAGAGTGATGGTAACCCAGTGATACTCTCTCCCATTCTGAATACTGGGACTTTGCCACCAGTTATTGGTGCCGTCTATGGCATTTGATATTGGATGGCGTTCTGTTAAAAGAAAATAAAATATGCATTCCTCTCAGCTCTTGCTTGAAATTCTTTAGCTTCTCAACTGTAATGCTAGTGGAAAAGAACAGCACCGAAAGTGAACACAGTGTTCATGGCTTCCTAAAAGAAGTCCTCAGCCATCATCTCAGGAAGCATACAACCCCTTGGGTGCCTCGGAATAGAAGAAGCAATACTTGCCTTTGGGGTTCACACTGTTGCCATCACAGATCCGACACTGTGCGTTTCGTACAGGTCGACCAGGCACATGCTCCACAAGTTTGCAGAACATCTCGGGCCCCTTCTCGCCACAGGTGGCATTGGTGCTGATGTGAGCATTGCTGGCGAGATTGAGAATGGCAGGAAACAGGCCTGAAAGTCAAAATTCACCAAATCAGCAGAGCCACTTTAAATGTAAAGAATGAGATTACCCCATCCCATTCCATAGGTGAATCCAAGAGAGATTGTAAGTCTACATGCTCAGTGAAGGGAGCCTTACAAAAAAGCAGAATATACAGTATTGTTTACATGAAATTCTATACAGAACAAGCAAAATTCATCTATGAGAAAAACTCAGAACACTGGGTGTGGGGGGTGGGAATTGACTATGAAGGGACATAAGAGAACTTTCTGGGGCCATACGTTCTGTATCTTGATAAAGGTTTGGGTTTCAAAGGCAGATGCAATTGTGAAAAATCATAGAATGAATACACCTAAGATTTCGGTAGATTTGTGCATTGTGGTATATATAAATTTTACCTCAAAAAATGAAACTAACATTGGTATTCATGTTGAAATGTTTAGGAGTGAAAAGTACTTATGTCTTCAACTTACTTTGAAATGCATCAAAAAATAAGCTGGCTTGATAGATGGACGGATGCATGGACACAGAGTTACAAAGGCAGGCCAGTAAATGTTAACTCTAGACTCTCAGGGGGGGTGCAGCTGTTCTCTGTGTAATCCTTTCCACTTTCCTGACTGACTCAAAATTTTCATAATACAATGTGGGGAAAACAGGTTCTAAGACAAGTTTCAAATGATCCAATGTGCATATTTAGCAATGAAATCAAACACCACTCACTTAAAAGAAGGGTATTTATTCTGTCCTCACACTGTTCCAGCTGCCTCTGGTAATACTTACAAGGTCTTTTCTATAATTATCTAGGATATTTTTCTCTCCCTTCACTTTCTTTACTGCCTGTGTTCTTTGGTGAATCAAACTTTAGAACACAAAGATCGAGTTTTCAAAATTCTCTTCAATTTGGTATTAATCTTTGCCTTTGTACAGTCCCTTTGTCTCAACTAATTTTTATCTTTAAGCAGCTGGGATCAGTACCAGGTCCGAACTGTTCAGAAAACGACTTCTGGATGACTGTGAGAAAAATATCTCAATTAGGGTCTTTAGAGATTTAATTTTATCCCTGTAAAAGAGGATAACAGCAGTGTAGATTCTATACAGATCGAGAAAAAACAGTGTACGTGATGCTGATGAGACGTTCTACATGAATGGACATTGTGTGCTGAGAGTACTGGGAGGGTCTTAGCTTAGCAACGTTTCTCTAATTTACTAGAAGTAGATCTTCAAAGATTACAGAATATAATCTTTTCTTTGTAAAGAACATGTAGTCAATACTATTTCTGAAATGTTTATTTTCCACTGAAATTTGAAATAGCACAGTATAATTTTTTTTTTCCTTTTTGTCTTTTTTCGTGACTGGTAACGGGATCGCAACCCTTGGTGTCGCGCCTGTACCACGACCGGCAACGGGATCGCAACCCTCAGTGTGGCGCCCGCACCACGCTCAACCAGTGAGTGGACCAGTCTCTATATGGGATCCGAACCCTCGGCGGGAGCACCGTCACACTCCCAAGCGCCGCACTCTACTGAGTGTGCCACCGGGCCGGCCCAGCACAGTATAATTTTAGTTATATTAAAGGAATTCATGTATTCAATTTTTTTAGAGACTACATAATATGTTCCATAATATTTTCTATTATTAATATTTTAATTTAAATTATAAAACAAAAATAGTTATTTTTGTAAGTGTTGCTAAACTTAAAAATTTACCATCTATCTATTAAAAAAACCTTATTAGGCAGTCTTTCAAAGACTTTTCACATCTGTTTCTGTATCACATATGATGGGTCTTCAAAAAGTTCATGCAAAGATTTGTATTCCCTTTTCATTCCATTTTTCTACGAGCTTTCTGAAGTACGCTCGTATGTGCGTTCAGATTTGCAGTGCAATCAACTCTATGCATTCTCGTCATACAGACTAGTCAAGTGAGAACAAACGAAGATTGAAAACTGATTTAACAATGCGTTTCTCTATCAACAATAACACATTTACCAGTTAACGAATGTTCCCACTTTCTCTTTATTCCCTCCTCCGGTTGCAGGGCCTCAAGAGAACTCCCCTCTCTGCACAGAGCTCCCCCCACTCTGGAGCTGCAAAGGGCTGGTGTTATTGGGGGTGGGCGTCCGGGGTGCAAGGGGTGGGAATCATGGGACCGCCACATTCTGTGTATCTGGAGTCTTTACCCTGTGGTTGCAGGGCCTCAAGAGAACTCCCCTCTCTGCACAGAGCTCCCCCCACTCTGGAGCTGCAAAGGGCTGGTGTTATTGGGGGTGGGCGTCGGGGGTGCAAGGGGTGGGAATCATGGGACCGCCACATTCTGTGTATCTGGAGTCTTTACCCTGAGTCACTGAGAAAAAGCAGCTCAAACCTCATGAACATAAACTTAACATCACTTTGGCAAATCATGTCTCAGTTCCAAAAATCAGCATCAGGTAGTTCTTTGTACTCAATAGGTTTTAGAGAACTTCCATTTTTTCTTACTTTTCTGGTTTGCTAAATATACTTTCAATGAAAAGAGAGACAAATTGCTTCGTTAACATGGCTATGCAGAACTACCTTTAAGTAATTAACTCCATAAAAATATCCAGGTTGTTTTTCACTAAAACTAAATCTTTCTTCTCAGATAAATTAGTATTTGGAAAAGTCTTCACCAAAACTTATGCTTTGCATATTACATTTACTCTCACTTCATAGATATAAAATAATTATTATTCCTTGCTGCATAGGAGTGCATCTGTTAGAAGATGAAAGAAAGCTGGAAATATGTACTGGAGAAAGCATTGTTTTAAAAGGAACTTTTTAAAAAAGTCCCTCAGGTTGCTGAACCATTTCAAAGACTACTGAAATATTTCAGTAAAGGGAAACTACATGTGCATCGAGGAGGAGGAGGGATAGGAGATCAAAGAGTGAGAAAGGGCATGGGGATCAAGATACTACCAAGAAGAAAAGTTTGATTTTACCCATAAAAAGCCATCAAAGGCAGAGCAAGGGCTGCAGCAGGCTGCAGCACGGCACACGTGTGACACAGTTTTCCCAATCCTTAGTCATGTGCTTAATAAGTTAGACTATACATTTTTGCTGAGAGACGTTACTTACTTTAGTTACTGTTACTGTGATACTAATTTGTACCTCTTTCTCCCATTCAGGACACACAATGGAACCATCCCTCTGTCTGTGGATTTAACCAGCAGCTAAAGACTTTATAACGCCAAACTCCATCAAGCATGAAATAAATTCCTTCTCATTCACCAGTAGTTTTTATTTTTGATCCCCTTTCTTCACATCCTGAATACACTAGGCCTTCTTAAATGCATTTCAGGACCTTGTTAATCTACTGGAAAGTTTCCTTATTAACATCAGGTGAAGAATTGCCACCAAGCTGCCAGACCACAATTCTACTACACATAATTACCAGTTTTCACCTGACTCTATTCCAGATAGCTTAATAATTCATTTTTAGAGGTGTCTGGGGTTTTTCTCAGCAGAATGTATTTTCCGCATCTTAAAAACAAGGTATCTAAAAAGTTGACTAAGCCTGAGGCTCATTACAACTTCCTCATCAATATTTTACAAACGACTCCGAGCCAACTATTCAGAGACTTAATTCATTTGTAAGAGAAGTGTCAGTTTTTCTCCATTTTGGAAAAATAAGTTTTTGAGTTCTACAGAATGTTATTTTTGCCTAATCCATATTCAAAATCAATGTGATATTCTGAAAAGAAAATGACTTGCTAAAATTCTTAGCTAAAGGATTTGGGGCAATACTTTCAGATCATTTTTTTCCCAAAATTAAATTTAAAAGTATGCATATTTATATGGTTGCACAATCAAGGTGGCATCTGGTGTCAAGAGTTTTTATTCTGAAAAGCAATTAAAGCTACTTATTCAATCGAAGGAGAAATTCAGAAAAGTAGAAATTTAACTTTCTAAATTGAGAAATTTATAATTTTTTTTAAAAAACATTCAAATCCATTTTGTTCTTCATTTACCCAACTCTCATTGCCCTAATCTTACCCATTCACCCAACCAAACATCTATAAAATGACTAGAGAAGTCTGAGTTTAGAAGTAACCTACCCTGTTTCTCAGCACTCTCTTTGAAACATGGTAGTTGCCCGGCTGAGCAATAAATATAGCACCTTTAACAACTACGAATGGTATTATTCAGTGAAAAATCCTGGAAGCTTTAATGTTCCAGGATAATACTATCAAGGTATTCTAATAACATAACATTCCAGGCTAACGATATTAAGGTATTCTGCATGCCATGGATTTCAGGAGGATGCGCACATTCATGTTCAGTAGCATATCCATGATTTATGCATATGAGAAAAAGCAGGTGAGAATGTTTGATTAAACTCAGTTAACTTTTAATGGGAACCTCTTAGGTGCAAAATCCTATGCCATCCACCTCTCAGGGACACTAAGATGAATGACTGAGTTCTTCCTGACCCCAAGGCTCTCACAATCAAGAGGGAGAGACATCTACTCATAGATTTCGATAAGTATAATAACAAAAATGCAGCAATATTTTAAAATAGATTAGAGGAGAAATTCTAGAGCAAGACAACTAGCTAGTCGTAATCCAGGCAGAAATATAAGGGCATGAGCTCAAACAGGGGTGGTCTAGAATCCTTTAATGGTTCCTCTCACTGCTCTTCAGATGGATTTCAGCTTCCCTCCACTTTGCACCTTTCATGTATCCATTAGGTATATATTTGAATCTCTGTTTCTCTGATTAAGTTTGAGATGCAGCAGTGGGTCTGCATTCTGGAAACAGAAGGAGCAGGCAGACTGCAAAACCCTCCCTCCCTCCCTCCCTCCCTCCTTTTTCTTTTTTTTGTCTTTTTTCATGACCGGCAACGGATCGCAACCCTCAGTGTCGCGCCCGTACCGGACCGGGACCTGCAACGGGATCGCAACCCTCGGTGTTGCCCCCGCTCCTCGCTCAGCCAGTGAGCTGCCGGTCTGTATGTGGGATCCGAACCCTCGACGGGAGCGCCGCCGCGCTTCCCAAGCAGCGCACTGTAGCAGTGCGCCACCGGGCCAGCCCCCTCCCTCCTTTTTCTATCTTACTGTTCTTTCTGCTACTGCCTTTGCAACACTGTGTAGTTGAATCCTTGCAAGTTAAAGCACATTTGTAAATCACAATCTTCTCCTTTAATTGTCACATGAGCTGACGAGGGAAGGAGTCTGAGGAGGTGAAGTGACCAGTTGCCTAAAAAATGAGCAGGAGTCAGCCATACAGGGGTAGCACCATATTTTAATATATTTGGTTTTCTTGGTAACGTATTTGTTATGCATTTTAAAACATGCTGAGAATAGGTCCCAAGAGCTCTCCATCGGCACCAAAAGATCAAGAAGCCTGGTGGGAATGGTGCTCCGGCAGAAGTGCCGTGAGCAAAGGGGTGGCAGAGGGGACTCTGCTAGTCCCCTCTCCCACCTCCTCTTCCAGGAACCTGTGCATCCCTGGAAAAGGCAGCCAGGAGGCCCACAACGTTTTGCTCAGAAACGTTTTGTAAAGGT